ATCTCACGCCAGTGACCCGTCAGATGGAAGATGTTTTAAATGTAATGAGCTGGGGCATGTAAAGGCCAACTGCCCCAAGAACCCCAACAGTTCATTGCACCGGACTCACACCAGAGGTCCGCAGGCCCAGATACCTCCCAGATACCCTTGGTGCGGAGGGAAACTGTGAGTGTGGGCGGGAAGAAGGTCACCACGTGGAGGGACACCGGAGCACAAGTGTCAGCTACCCATGCTTCCTTAGTGGACCCCAATTTAATCAACCCAGAGATCCAAGTGACGATTCAACCCTTCAAGTCAAACTCTTTCAATTTGCCTACAGCCAAGTTGCCTGTCCAGTAGAAGGGCTGGTCAGGAACGTGGACTTTTGCAGTCTATGATGATTATTCCATCCCCATGCTGTTGGGGGAGGACTTGGCCAATCATGTGAAGCAGGCCAAGAGGGTGGGAATGGTCACCCGCAGCCAGGCTAAACAAATCGTGAGGCCTAGCTCTGTTCCGGAAACTTCTATCAGGACCCGGTCAGAGGTGATGGACCCGGACCCCAGGCCAATGTCTGCAACACCAGTAGTGGATCCAGTCCCAGAGAAATTTACAAATTTACTGGAGATTCAACAAGAAGAAAGTCAAGGAAAGTGTGGGCTCCTTAGTGAATGAGGGAGGCAACCTGGTGACAGAGGACGTGGAAAAAGCTGATGTACTCAATGCTTTTTTTGCTTCTGTCTTCATGAACAAGATCAGCTCCCAGACTACTGCACTGGGCAGCGCAGCATGGGGAGGAGGTGACCAGCCCTCTGTGGAGAAAGAAGTGGTTCAGGACTATTTAGAAAAGCTGGACGAGCACAAGTCCCTGGGGCCGGGTGCGCTGCTTTAGCATCCGAGGGTGCTAAAGGAGTTGGCGGATGTGATTGCAGAGCCATTGGCCATTATCTTTGAAAACTCATGGTGATCCAGGAAGGTCCCGGATAACTGGAAAAAGGAGAATATAGTGCCCATCTTTAAAAAAGGGAAGAAGGAGGATCCGGGGAACTACAGGCTAGTCAGCCTCACCTCAGTCCCTGGAAAAATCATGGAGCAGGTCCTCAAGGAATCAATTCTGAAGCACTTAGAGGAGAGGAAAGTGATCCGGAACAGTCAGCATGGATTCACCAAGGGCAAGACATGCCTGACTAACCTAATTGCCTTCTATGACAAGATAACTGGCTCTGTGAATGAGGAGAAAGCAGTGGACATGTTATTCCTTGACTTTAGCAAAGCTTTTGATATGGTCTCCCACAGTATTCTTGCCAGCAAGTTAAAGAAGCCTGGGCTGGATGAATGGACTAGAAGGTGGATAGAAAGCTGGCTAGATCATCAGGCTCAACGGGTAATGATCAATGGCTCCATGTCTAGTTAGCAGCCGGTATCAACTGGAGTGCCCCAAAGTTCGGTCCTCGGGCCAGTTTTGTTCAATACCTTCATTAATGATCTGGAGGATGGTGTGGATTGTACCCTCAGCAAGTTTGCGGATGACACTAAACTGGGAGGAGTGGTAGATATACTGGAGGGTAGGAATAGGATACAGAGGGACCTAGACAAATTAGGGGATTGGGCCAAAAGAAGTCTGAGGAGGGTCAACAAGGACAAGTGCAGAGTCCTGCACTTAGGACAGAAGAATCCCATACACTGCTACAGACTAGGGACTGCGTGGTGAGGCAGCAGTTCTGCAGAAAAGGACCTAGAGATTACAATGGACGAGAAGCTGGATAATAGTCAGCAGTGTGCCCTTGTTGCCAAGAAGGCCAATGGCATTTTGGGCTATATTAGTAGGAGCATTGCCAGCAGATCGAGGGACGTGATCGTTCCCCCTATTCGGCATTGGTGAGGCCTCATCTGGAGTACTATGTCCAGTTTTGGGCCCCACACTACGAGAATGATGTGGAATAATTGGAGAGTCCAGCAGAAGCCAACAAAAATGATCAGGGGGCTGGGGCACATGACTTATGAGGAGAGTCTGAGGGAACTGGGATTATTTAGTCTGCGGAAGAGAAGAATGAAGGGGGATTTGATAGCTGCTTTCAACTACCTGAAAGGGGGTTCCAAAGAGGATGGATCTAGACTGTTCTCAGTGATAGCTGATGACACAACAAGGAGTAATGGTCTCAAGTTGCAGTGAGGGAGGTTTAGGTTGGATATTAGGAAAAACTTTTTCACTAGGAGGTGGTGAAGCACTGGAATGCGTTACCTAGGGAGGTGGTGGAATCTCCTTCCTTAGTTGTTTTTAAGTTCAGGCTTGACAAAGCCCTGGCTGGGATGATTTAGTTGGTGATTGATCCTGCTTTGAGCAGGGGGTTGGACTAGATGACCTCCTGAGGTCCCTTCGAACCCTGATATTCTATGATTCTATGTGTGCCAAAATACATCTTTCCCTGTGCATTAATTTCTCTTTTATAACACCTATAGATAACCACAAAAAGATCACTGCAAAATAAACTTCTGCAGTAACTGGACTGTACCTTAGGTGTTTAACGGTAGTCACAAATGCCTTATTTTCTATGTATTGGGAAATATCTCTGCAGCATCATTTGGGGAATTAGCCTCACAATACAGGGTGTGTTTGGGAATGTAAAGGGAGCTAAAAGCTTAGGGCATTGATCACACTATGAGCCAAAGGAATTTCTCTATTGCTTTTCCTATTTCTTTATCCACCTGCCACAATAAACATGCCTGTCTTGCAATGTATAACATTTCTTTAACCAACACGGGGCTATTATCTTGAGCAGGGGAGAAGAGAGGGCTACAGTGGAGTGGGTGGGAGAGAAGGCACCAAGAAGCATGGGAAAGCAAGTTGGTGGCATGTTTGGCCAATGGTGGGATTTGATACTTCAGGGAAATAAACCTTTCACACAGCTTAGTCTGCAGTGTCAAAGCCACCCTGAGCACACTGGGGGTAGGGATGTGGGAAGCAGGTCAGGCAGTGAGCGCTCATAGCTCCCATTCGCCCAACAGGGCAACACTCACCCTATACCTGGAAGAAAGTTGTTTAAAGGTGCCTGTACAATTCTATTGCAATGCAGTGCATAATGCTGAGTGGTGGAGCTCTGCACTACAGCAGTTCCAGTCTGGGTCTCCTGGGTTCTGGGGACATCTCCAGCACCTGTGTCCCTGGCCCAGACACACCAGAGATGTGTGTCTTTCTGAGTGAATCTCCTCCTGGGTGACATTTGACAGAAACGGTCCTCATTGCTAGATCAAAGGCAACAGGAGGAATTTGGTGACAAGCCAAACATTCAGTCAGTCTTGCAGTAATAACATCACGAAGAATAAATTAGTGCTATGGGGAACCCCCTTCCCCACAAAATTAGAAAAATAATTGTATGTTACAATATAATAATAAAAACACACAAAGTATTATACTGGGAAACACTGAGAGATGTATCAGAGGGGTGGCTGTGTTAGTCTGGATCTGTAAAAGTGGCAAAGAGTCCTGTGGCACCTTATAGACTAACAGACATATTGGAGCATAAGCTTTCATGGGTGAATACCCACTTCGTCGGATGCATGTAGAGATGTAATTGCTTAAGTTTTTATATAATTTAATATTAATTAATCTTAATAATTATATTGTTCATGATGATTTACCATTAAGAACATAAAGTAGCTAAATGACAGCCATCTGCACACTATTAAACCACATAAATGATGGAGCATTCAAGCAATAAGAGTCAGCAAAACAGCTTTTTAAAATAAAAAATTAAAAGGAGTGAAACTGCATTCACAGTGAATTACAGGAAAGAGAGTCCAGTTCAGGCAATCAGAACAGCAGACAAATCCAGTTAGTGAACTGCTGTGAGTCTGTATGTATCTGCATGTTACAGCTCCTCAACTGACAAGGAATGTATTAAACACCAAAAACACATATGGAAATTATGAATTGTTTAGAATGGGTGTGTAAAATATTTCACTGAATCGGATCTCATTTGGCAGCTCAGTGTATCATCTCAAATGGAGAAGATCTGCCCTGTCAAGGCATTGGGCTGAACTTTGCCTTTAATATCACAGCCCTGGGGAGGGGGAGCTGAAAACATCTTCTCCTTAACCCCAGTTCCTGTCCCTGATTTTACCTACCTGCCCCACGCCTGCCCCCTGCACACGCCGTTCCCATCCCGCCCCTCTGATTCCCCCGCCCCAGTTGGAAGCAGAGTCTGGTGGTAGCAAGGGCAGAGTGAGGGCAGAGGCTTCAGCAGCTGTTACTGCTCCGCAGATCCGGGGCTGAACTTCCCGGGTCAGACGCTGCCGCCGCCTCCATCGTGAGCCGGAGCCCGGGCTGAGCCGCTGCTGCTCCCCAGCGGGGTGTGTGCGGGGAGAGCCCTTCCCCAGCGCCCCTCGGGGCCCAGCCGCGGGGACTTTCTCCGGGGGCTGGAAGCAGCCCCGGGCTCTGCCGACACCAGCCCCTGAGCCGGAGCCTGCAGGTGAGGGGAGAGACCCGGGGGAAGGGCTGGGGCCGGGCAGGAAAGTGACTCCGCACCAACGGCCCCGGGGGGGGGGGGGGGGCGGGGGGTCTGCGAGTCCCGGAGCTGCTGCCTCCCTTGACCCCCCCCCCTCCCCGGCTCTGCCCCCCTGAGCGCCGGCAGGAGCCGAGCCAGCGCCGGGAGAGCGAACGGGCCGGGCCAGGGACCGAGTCTCCCAGCCCGAGGGGAGGGGGCAGGAGAGAGACAGGGGCAGAGACTGGCAGGGGCAGCAGGAGCAGTCAGTGGGGAGCGAGGTTCGCGGCTCCCTGCCCAGCCCCATTCCCTGCAGCACCCCGGGCAGGTTGACTGTCCTGGGGAGAAGGGGAGGAGCAGGGAGGGGAAAAGCCAGTTCCTGCCTCTGCCTGGTCCCCGCGCTGCTGGGGGATGTGCAGCGGCTCCTCGGATTCTGCTCTTTCATGGCAGCTGGAGCTCACAGTGATACTGACAGTGTCGCTGCACAATTTCAGTCTAAAGGGACTTTTCAGTTGCTTATAAAATTCTCAAATTTTGTAGACGGACCTCGGATCTGATACCGTCTGGCCGTGACTGTCTTCTTCTTTATGGTAGGTCATGTGGTTGTAGCTGTGCCAGTCCCAGGAAGCTAGAGAGACAAGGTGGGTGAGCTAATATGTTTTATTGGACCAATACATACATACCAATATACACAGAAGTTGGTCCACTAAAAGTTATTACCTCAGCTAGGTAGCATAGCTAAGAGCTTTAGGGTAGACAGTCTCTGCCCTGGATGAATTTATGGATGAATGTTCGAAGGGAATCCACGTCTCCCGTCAGGAACACACACTGCCCTGACACACCTGGTCCACACTAGAGAATTAGGTTGGTTTAAAAATCCAGACCACTGAGTGACATGGCTAAAATTACCTATGTCCCCATGTAGACAGCACTAGGCAAAAGGAAGAATTTTTCTGACCTACCTACCACCACTTGGGCAGGCGGGTTACCTGTGCCGACAAGAGACCCCCTCCTGCTGGCACAGGTAGTGTCCACACTGACGTGCTGCAGCAGTGCTGGTCCAGCAATGCAGCCGTGCTGCTACAGCCATTTAGGGGTGTGCCAAGCCTTCTGTGTTGGCGACATAATTTCAGGGTAAAGGGACTTTTTCCGTTGCTTTTAACATGCTCACAGTTATTGGATGGACCTCAGGTCTGATCCAGTCTGGCAAATCCCATGTTCCTCTTTAGGGTGGAAAGTCTCCATCCAGGGGTGAGTACTTTAAAAAGTTGGGGGAAAACCATGTAGTTTATAGCTGAGAAAGAGCCGGTGGGGAAAAGTACACATATTACTATTAAAATATCAATTTCTGAGCAATTCTAATTGTAAATCTAATGCCTTGGGCTGCAGATTTGATAGAGAGAGAATTCCTAGTTCAAACAGTCTCCTCTCTGCAGCCTGGTTGATTTCTGAGTCCAAGTGTACATATCCCCCACACAGGCTGAGTTTTTCCCATTCAGGAAAATTAGTTTAAATACTTAAGATCCAATCTTGCAAGTTTTTTACACACATTTATGTCTTTGAGCATCTGAGTGCTCCTGTTGCCTTCATTTAACGACTATTACTGTGAGGGTTTAAAATTGTCTCTGTGGATTTAGTCCTGGTGGGAGGGGCTGGGTCTGTGCTGTAGTTAAGTCACCATGGCCAAGAATTTTACACACTGGAGCTTAAAGTTGATTTTCTCAGTCCATATTCAGGCAGCTAAATAGGAGGCCCGATGATCAGCTGTGCTGGCCACTCGACCCCAAATTTGGAGGCTCAGCATTTTTGAAATTCAGGCCACTTAGTGAGAGACCTGAATATGGATTTAGGAGCCTAGCTTTAGGTTGCTCTTTTTGAAAATCTTGGCTAAAGCATCACCTCAGAATGGCAGAGGCTAGAACATCTGTCTTCAGGGGAAGGGACAGGGATGAACTGGGATGTGAAATTGTCTAGAGCCCCTGAAACTGCCCCAATCACCCTTCTCACCCTGCCAGACTGCAGAATAACGTCTATGTTTCACTACAGATCATCCCATCCCCTTAAGAGACAGGGAAGGGAAATGGCTGCAGTGGAGCTGGTGACGTTCGAGGAGGTGGCTGTGTATTTCTCCGAGGAGGAATGGGCTCTGCTGGACCCGGGTCAGAGAGCCCTCTACAGGGAAGTCATGCAGGAGAATTATGAGACTGTGACCTCACTGGGTAAGGAATTCTGTCCCCTTGGGTACTAGAGGCTGGTGGTCTCTAAAGCATCTGGGTCTGATCCTGTGCAGGGTTCTTCATTGGTCCCCCAGATTTCAGAGGGATCAGTCCCTGAAACCCCCGCAACACATGTGTGAGAGTCTCTCTCTTCTGCACTCCTTACATGGAATAGGAGTTTCACCGACATAATGACAGTGCTGTTCTCCCCATAACCAAGGCTGTCAAGTGGGACAAGCTCACTTTCTCCCACCATTCCCAGGGCAGGTTACACCTCTGGGACCTCTGTCCCATTCTTTTTTTTAATGCTTGTAATTTAACTCTGTCATTGCATATTTCTCTTTTTAAGATCTCACTCAGTTCCTTCCAAATTTCAACTGTGTCAGCAATAAAACAGCGATTTCCCTGCATTTTGTTCAAGGCTACAGAAATAGGCTTCAGGGCACTCAGCCTGTGTTCAACATTTCTCTTAAGCCCCAGGTTGAGAACTTTGGCTGTGACAGTGCCATCTATTTTTTCATAATTTTGTTCACAAACTGTCATCAGATTAGGCCAGTTCTTGATCTAGTGCTCAAAACAGTCCACTGCTGAGTTCTATTGCACGTCTTGTGGGAGAGTTAGCTTGGGTCCTCCCACTTTTTTCCGAGCAGCTGCTGCAAAGTGGTTGTTACAGAAGTATTTTGCAATTTCAACAACATTCATCTTTATTTCTGGAACACTGAAGTCTTTGGCTAGGAGGTGCATCAAATGAGCACTGCAACCATATGTTATTAGCTTGGGACTCTCTTCTAAATAATTTCTTCTCATCTTGGATACATTTGCAGCATTGTCTGAGACCAAGCTGTGTGCTAGACATTTGAATTTTTTTTCACAGTTTGTTACAGCTTTTACTACTACTACTTGTAAGTATTCTGCTGTGTGTGTATTTCCTGATGTATCAATTGTTTCTGTAAGGAAGCCATTCCCTTCTTCTGTTGTCACACAAGCACACACAACAGGATCATCGTGGACATTGCTCCACCCATCAAGACTCAGGTTAACAATTTCACCCTCTAGACCTTTTGCACACTGCTCAGTTTCTTTTTCATACACTTTATCCAGCAATTTGCCTGCGACATGTGCTCTGTGGGTGGATTGTATCCTGGTCTTAATGACTGAACAATGTTAATGAAGTGTGGGTTCTCAATCATACAGAAAGGAGAGTTTGTTGCATAAACAAACCGGGCAATTTTTTCATCAATTACCTCTTTTTGTAATCTGCTGGTTCTTATCACAAGCCTATCTAGGGTTGTTTCTGGATGACGGAGACTTTTTTTCTTTTTGCTACAGGTGATATACTGTGGCTCTGTGACATACATGATGTGACTGAAACACTATCATTGGCAGATAATTCTGAAACTATAGAAAATGATGGTAATCTTGAAGGTGGATAGTTTTCAGAATCCTGTATGTTGAGGATGGATTCTCCTAAACAAAATAAGTCAATCAGTTATTTAATTATTATTACCATACTGCTCATTTAGTATTACTCATTGCATTCACTGACACTCAGTACTACTTTAAAGGTGAAATTGTAAAAGGAGGAACTGCCTATTTCAGCTATTTATTTTTTATCACAACTGCATCTAAAATGATAGTATCATAGAGTAATAACTATATTTTTTGCTCAAACATGAGAATTCAAGAATAGTCCAGAAGGAAGACAGGCAGTCCTTAAGAAGGAGGTATGAAATAAAAAACTTTACCAGCCTGAAGACCCTGCATGTTCAGACATGTTCCTTTCATCATCTTCAGTGCAGCTTCCTCCCGAGAAGGAACACTTCTCATGATGTTGTTTCATTTTGGCAACCAGGCCTTGCATTTCTTTGCTGCACTGTTTACATTTTGCATGCTTGCCTGTCTTACCCACAAGTAGAGGAACTTCATTAAAATATTCCCAAACTGGGTCTCTTTTATGGCCTACTGCCATTATAGGTTTTCCCTTCTAGTGAGAGAATGGTATGGTAGATGTCAAATCAATGAAGGCTACACTCAGAAAGACCTCAAGACTTCTGGAATATGCTGCTCAAGCAGTTTCACTTTTGTTTCTACTGCTTGTCCCTCCCTTCTCACATTTATCTCCAGACTCCTTCTCCTTGTCCAGATCTATTCTGCCCCCAACAATCTTCTATTCGCAGAACTTTTTGAAACTTTTCACTTTTAGAGAGAGGTAAGGGATTGAGTCTGTGTACACACATGTGCAGAGGGACAATAGGGTTGAGGTCTGTTATTTCTCACCTCTAATATTTATTTATTTAAAACATTTTTGCTGTTAACAAGCATGTTATCTCTGGACACACAAATCCACAGTTTGAGAACTGCAGAACTAAGCATCCCTGATGGTATCTTCTAGATTGAGCAGTGAGTCCCATAGGGTAGATAGAAAGATTAACCTAAATAATCTATACAGAAGCCCCTGGAGCCCCATAAAATTGGGTCCCTAATCCATGAACTATTGGAACTCATTTACAAAACTTTTCTTAAATATTAAATGAGTGTATTGTCTCATACTATAGAATTAGAATTTATAATCCCTATTCCACTATGAGATATCTTAGTTTTAATTAAGATAGGCTATTTCCTCAAAAAGCATTTTATCAAAAAAATCCTATTTAAATAAAAAAAATCCAATTTTAGATTTTTTTTTTTAAAAAAATCATTGAGTTTTATCCACCCTGTTTGCCAGATAATTGTAGTTTTGTGAAATGGCCCTTCTAAAGCACAAATTATGTATATCTTGTTGATCTGGACTTCATTCTGTTTGATATTTGCAAATGCAATCTGGGCATTGCTGAGAGCTGTATTGTCATGTAATGTCCATGCTAAACTGGAGCATTACCTCTGGCTTAAGTCTGCATTTGTAACAACCAAAGATCTGCATAAAGTGCACTGCAAAAGATATAGAATTCTCCAGTAGTGCCAAAAGGGTAGTGAACTCTTAGCCTTAGCATCTTACTTTTTTGAAATTTCTCTGTGGCATGATTTGGGCTATTTGCCTCAGAATAATTGCAAAGCAGAAGACATTAATGAACCTGATCCAGAAACATTTTTTCTTTTTCTTGTCTCCAGGTGATGTGTGAAATTGTTACACTGTGGTAATTTTTGCAGTGTTGAAGGAAATGGGCACGTTTAGTCTAGACAAGAGAAGACAATGGGGACAAATGATAACAGATCTCCAATATGTAAAAGGCTGTTATAAAGAGAACGGTGATAACGTGTACTGCATGACCACCAAGGGTAGGATAAGAAGGAACCGGTTTAGTGTGCTGCAAGGGAGATTTCAGTTAAATATTATGAAAAACTTTCTAACTTTAAACATAGTTGAGCATTGGAACAGGTTACATAGGGAAGTTGTGTACAGTTACTCCTCACTTAAAGTTGTCCCGGTTAACGTTGTTTTGTTGTTTCGTTGCTGATCAATTAGGGATGCTTGTTTAAAGTTGTGCAATGCTCCCTTATAACGTTGTTTGGCAGCCGCCTGCTTTGTCCACTGCTTGCAGGAAGAGCAGCCCATTGCAGCTAGCTGGTGGGGACTTTGAACCAGGGTGGATCAGAGGCCCCCTATCAGCTCCCCACTCCCCTAAGTTCCCTGTGCAGCAGCTGCCCAGCAGGCTATCAATTGCCGGTGTGGTGTAGTAAATTGCTCTGCATAGGAATGTGCCGCCTACGGTGTACTGAGCATGCTCAGTACATCTGCTGAAGCCACTGCCCTTCACCCTGCCCTTATTAGCCGTAAGATTCTGTGGACTGCTTTTGACAGGGGTTAAAAAGTGGCAAAAAGGGAGAATCAGAGGAGGGGGGTGGCCAGGGTCTGAGCAGGGGGTGGAAATTTACTGGTCAAGGGGGTCAAGCAGCTGGAGGCAGCATTAGGAGAGGGGCTAAATGGCAAAATCAGGGATGGGGGGGGGGAAAAGGCGGAGTTAAGCCCAGGGGTGAGGCACTGGCAGAGGGTATCAGAGGGCAAAACCCGGCAGGGGCAGAGGGGGTAACAGTTATCCCAGTGGGACTGAGACACCAGTGCTTGGCAAAATAGTTTGTTGCAAATTGCTACAGATAGCAGTCTCACATACCTATGATGTGAGAAACTGCTATCTGTAGGAATTAGCCTCACACATATATAGCAGTGTTACGGGTAGCACATCCCTACACACTGCAGTTTCTTACATGCATGTGTGTGTGAAAATGCTCTCTGTAGGATTGTACTACCTGCAGCAGCGACAGGTCTTACTTTGCTAAAAAAGGCCATCTGATGTAGCTAATTCAAGCAGTCTCACATGTCAAACCAACCTGATAGCTTTCTTTAACAGTGTAACAAGCCTTGTGGATGGGGGGAAGTGATCAACATGGTCTGTCTTGCCTTTAGTAAGGCTTTTGATACTATCTTCCATGACCTTCTCATAAACAAACTATGGAAATGCAACCTCGATCAAGCTAAAATAAGATGGGTGCAAAACTGGTTGGGAAACAGTTCCAACAGAGTAGTTATCAGTGATTCACAGTCAGGCTGGAAGGGCATAACAAGTGGGGTTCTGCAGGGATCAGGTCTGGATATGTTTCTATTCAAAATCTTAATCAATGATTGAGATAATGGCATGGAGAGTACACTTATAAAGTTTGTGAATGATAAGCTGGGAGGGGTTGCAAGTGCTTGGGAGGATAGGATGAAAATTCAAAATGCTCTGGAAAATTGGCGAAATAGTCTGAAGTAAATAGGATGCAATTCAAAAAGGAGAAATGCAAAGTACTCCATTTAGGAAGAAACAATCAGCTGCATGCATACAAAATGGGAAATGACTTCCTGGGAAGGAGTACTGTGGAAAGGGATCTAGGGGTCATAGTGGACCACAAGCCGAATATGAGTGAACAGTGTAACACTGCTGGAAAAAAAGCGAACGTCATTCTGGGATGTATTAGCAGGAATGTTGTGAACAAGACACATGAAAATGAACATACATGTTCTCTGTATGTATATATATCTTCTTACTATATGTTCCATTCTATGCATCTGATGAAGTGGGCTGTAGCCCATGAAAGCTTATACTCAAATAAATGTGTTAGTCTCTAAGGTGCCACAAGTACTCCTGTTCTTTTTTTAAAGGCAATGTACCTAGAGTGTGGTCAGTGTACTTAAAGGGGCAATGCGCATCTCTCTCTCTCCCTGTGTGTGTCTCTGTCTCTGTCTGCCATGCGGTTTCCCCTCCCTCCATTCGTGCTGCCTTGTAGAGTGTGAGGCTACATTAACATCAATGTGTTAGCCCTTGAGGGCTCAGCCGAATGTTAGTTCATCATTTAGCAGTAAGGCATTCCCTGGGAAATATCCTACCTTCTTCCACCCTCTAATTTCACCACCTTAACCAAGCTTCACAATCATCATTGCTGTGTACAGTATTAAATTATTTGTTTAAAACTTATACTGTGTGTGTGTGTGTGTGTGTGTTATATATATATATATATATATATATAAATATAGTTTTTTTTGTGTGGTGGAAAAATTTTCCCCCTGGAACCTAACCCCCCCATTTACATTAATTCTTATGGGGAAATTGGATTCACTTAACATCGTTTTGCTTAAAGTCGCATTTTTCAGGAACATAACTACAACATTAAGCAAGGAGTTACTGTAATCCCCATCATTGGGGGTTTTTAAGAATAGGTTAGTCAGGGATGGCCTAACTATACTTAATCGTTCCTCAGCACAGGGATGGGCCAGATGACCTGCTGAGATTCCTTTCAGCCCTATGTTTCTATGATTCTGTTTCAATGATTCTATGACTTGCCCTGAAGCAATCGCTATTTTTTAGTTTTCTGATAAGTTCCTCTTTGTCTGTCAAGATGAGAGCTACTGTAGAACTCCCGTGTGTTGAATGCAGCATGTTTTGAATTAGGACATTTTCATCTCCAGTTTTTAGACATTCCAAGAAGAGTTTATAGAGTAAGAGACTTAAGGAGCTCAGTATAATTAACTAAGCAAAGAGAAGGCTGAGTGTTGACTTGATCATAGTCTACAAGTACCTACATGGGGAAGAGCAGAGGTGTCATCAACCTAGCAAACAAAGGCAAAATGAGAGCCTATGGTGGGAAGCCAAAGCTCGACATATTCAGTCTAGACATAAAGCACAAATGCGTAACAGTGATTTGAATTAACCATTAGAATGACTTACCCAGAAACATGATGGATTTTCCATCTATAGACATCTTTAAATCAAAACTGGACATCTTTCTAAAAAAATGTAAAAATGTTAAAGAATTCCAAAAATATGTCATTCTAAAAGTCCAATCACAAAATATGGGCTTGCTTGTAATAGGGTTTGACTTAGATTAATAATCAACAAGATGTAAGACAGCCACATTCATTTGGTTTATTAAGTAAAGACAGATCAGCACAAATACAGAAAGGCAAAGGTTAACATAAATCCCCTTCTGTGGACAGCTTCACAGCTTATCCTCTTCTAAACTGGTTACAATTTTGTGGATTTTTATACCCTACATGTTTACAACTATTCTAATTGATTGTCATATTTCTTCTCAGCTACAAACCCCACAATTTTACATCTTGCAGGCAGACACTGTCTCCAGTCAGATCACTGTCTTCTACTTTTTCCCTTCTTTTATACAAAAGAAGCAATGGTCACAGCAGTTTAACTATAAGTAATTTTCCATATTATCTTAACATAGCACATGCTATTACAATACTTAATTATATGATTTGTGGTTTACCCATATGCCCTTTGCATTTGGAACTTCCTATGTAGCTGCAAAAATAGGCTATACTCTAGATATAATTCCATTAGCAATACAAAGTTCTTCTGGTAGTAATTTTCCATTATTTCTCTTCACAGAACTATACAAAACTTTATGAGAGTATGACTTATATGCTAACATGATAAAGAAATAGCTGATTGAGTTTCTCTGGCCTGTGTCATGCAGGAGGTCAGACTAGATGAACATAATTGTCCCTTACAAGAGAGGTAGCCGTGTTAGTCTGTATCCACAAAAACAACACGGAGTCTGGTGGCACCTTAAAACTAACAGATTTATTTGGGCATAAGCTTTCATGGATAAAACCCCCACTTCCTCAGATGCATGGAATGAAAATGTGGACTCCTTGTTGTTATAATTGTCCCTTGGCCCTCAGATGCCTGATCCTATGTCTACCCAGGTATGTTGTTAGTCTTGTCTCTGGACTCAGGCACCAGTTACAAAAAAAAAAAAAAAAGAAAAAAGAAAAATCCTATTCAGCAAAGTCCTAAGCATGCACTTAACTCCCATTAAAGTGAATGGGACTCAAGCATCAAGAATAAGTTCTTTGCTCAGTGGTGTACCTGGGATCCTATGCAAATGAGCTCTGTGAGATTTATTGGGAGGGAGCGTCTTCCGCATTTGAACCCAGGTGAGAGGAGAATGACTTCTCCTCTAGATCTGTCCTCTCTGGGTCTGTGGTGTATGAAGCAGGCTGAGGGGGTGAGGAGAGCCAGCCCAAGGCTTGTGGTTTCAGCAAGCTGGGTGTCTGTGGGGGCAAAGCAAGACTCATGGAAGAACCAAATGACTATTGATTACTATGGGGATGGACCCTAGTGCTAGTCCATCATCACCTCATGAGAGGAGGCTCTTTACTCTCTGCATGCCACTGGGGGCAGGTGTCTAGTAATCTTCTTTCCATGGCCTGAGTGGTGTTTCCTCTGTTTATTTCATCACTGCTTGTATCAGGGCACTCCCTAGAGGCCCAAGTAAAGGATCACAGCCCCAGTGAGATGGGTGCTGCATGAGCACATAGTGAGAGACTATTCCCACCTCCCCCAGAGAGCTCCTAGTCTAAGTAATATCTTCCATTTCTGGCTCGTGCCATAGATGGAATGGCATATGTAGGTGTGGGAGCTGGGAATTCGCAGTGATGGAGACTTAGGGCTGGTTTACACTACAGCTTAAGTCGATGTAATTTACGTTGCTCAGGGATGTGAAAAACATACACCCCCACTGGAGCAACGTAAGTTACATCAACCTAAGTGCTGTCCAAACCAGTGCTACATCTCTTGCTGACATAGCTTCCGCCTCTCATAGAGGCGGAGTAATTAGGCCAATGGGAGAGCGCTCACCTGTCGGTATAATGTGTCTTCACTAGGCATGCTACAGTGGCACAGCTGCGCCGATGGAGCATTCTAGTGTAGACTAGCCCTAGGTTGAAAACCAGACACCTAGAGAGTGTAGCAATTCTGCTCATCCACCCAGGGGCACCAGATAGGGCCATTTCCCAGGCAGACTGGATGAAGTCTTGCTCCAAACAAGAGGATCATTTGCAATTTATAGCCCAGATTCTGTATGTGGTGGGGGAAAGAGGAAGGAGCCTCTCTGAGTGGGTGACTCAGATTCTGGGTCTGGGAGTAGTAATAGCAGTGACTGTAACAAACAAGAACAATGCTTGTTTCCTTGCCCCCAAGCAGGATTTCCAATTTCCAAACCTGTTGTGATCTCCTGGCTGGAACGAGGGGAGGAGTCATGGGTCTCTGATATCAAAGGGTACAAAGAAAGGGAGAGCCCAAGAGATGCCCACACAGGTGAGTAATTGGCTAAAATGATTCAGTTTTTATATCCTCTTGGCAGCCATTACTCATGGGTTTTCAACAAACTTGTTTGCCCAAGTAACCATGTAACTCATCCCCTCATCCATATCTGGATGTGAGGAGGAGGCAGAATTGGTCCCCTCCTGTCTCTACTCTGGGGAAGGATCTGGAAGGGATTCCTCTCAGCAATTTTCTATCCCCACAGTAGCTACTTTGGTTTGTTTACCCTTTTGCCATGCTTCTTTTTGAGGTTTCCTTTGCCCCTAGGCACAGGGACTGACTCCTGTCTGGATTCTCTCTCTATCCCAGCAGCTAATGGGACAGTGAGTGAGAATGAGGAGAAGAATCCTCAGCCAGAGGAACTGCATGGAGTGCTGTTGGAAAGAGCCGAAGAGGACGTTTCCCAGAGTCCTGAGCAGGGAGAAGCCCGTGAGAGCCAGCACAGGCCAGAGACACAGCAGGGAATCCAGCCAGGGGAGAGATGGGATAAATTGATTCATCGGAGCAGAAAGGCGAAGAAAATGAAAGAAACTGTTCCTGCTGGAGAGAGACCCAACACATGCGGTGACTGTGGGAAAAACTTCTGTTGGAGATTAGACCTGATTAGACACCAAAGAACCCACACGGGAGAAAAACCCTATAACTGCCCTGACTGCGAGAGAAGCTTCAGACGGAGCTCAACCCTTATTGAACATCAGAGAATCCACAGTGGAGAGAAGCCTTATAAGTGCCCTGACTGTGAGAAAAGCTTTCGTTGGAGCTCAAACCTCACTACACATCAGAGATTCCATACAGGAGAGAGACCCTATAAGTGTCCTGAATGTGAGAAAAGCTTCTGTTGCAGCTCAGACCTCACAAAACACCAGAGAACCCACAGTGGAGAGAAGCCCCATAAGTGCCCCAACTGCGAGAAAAGCTTCAGAAGCAGGTCAGAACTCACTCAGCACCAGAGAACCCATACGGGAGAGAGACCCTACAGATGCACTGTATGTGGGAAAAGCTTCCCTCAAAGCTCACAGCTTCTGCTACACCACAGAATCCACACGGGAGAGAGACCCTATAACTGCCCCAACTGCGGGAAAAGCTTCAGTTGGAAATCAAACCTTATTAATCACCAGAGAATCCACACGGGGGAGAGACCCTATAATTGTCACGACTGTGGGAAATGCTTCAATCAGAGCTCAAACCTTAACAAACACCAGAGAATCCACAGAGGACAAAAGCACTAAAAGTGTCATACTAGTGATGGGCCAAGTGAATAACACCTTTGCTGGTTCCCATCAATCTGAGAGGGTCAGGCCAGGCTGGACTGGCCGTCTAACAAGGACATGCAACAGTTATTAAAGCAGAGAATGAAACCACCTTCTTGGAACAGAGCCATGCGGAGCAAGAGACTGAGATAAGATTCACACATTGTGATGGGGTTTGATTACAACTTCTCAAGAAGTTCTGAACATCCTCTGATCGGCTCTTACAGTTTAGTTTGGTGCTAGTAACCTAGAACCATCTTTATTTTATAAGCTGCAAATTGTTTATTCCTGATAGTGTCTTAAGTGGAGGGGAGGGTGTCTTAAGCCCAGCCCCTGTCATGGAGAAAGATGCCTATGTTCAGTCTGCAGGGAGACACCAATCTCCGCTTACCATTCACAAACCAGGAATGACAGGCACTCCTCTGGCTATGGGGCCACATTCAGTAGGAGTGTTCAGAGGCTGCCTAACTCCACTCAAAACAACCTGACTGGGGGAAGAGGAGGCTTTATCTCATAACCTTTAGCGCAGTGGTTAGGGCACTTACCAGAGGGGAGAGACCCAGTTCAAGTCTGCCTGATCAGAAGAAGGGCTTTGCAACCTCTGTGGTGAGTGCCCAGGTACTGAGCTATGGGATATACCGATGGGTGGGTGGGGCCTCTCAGTCTACCCTGTGGAAGCTGTTCCACTGTGCAAAAATACTAAAAGACTCATTGGGCCAAAGAGACTGAAAACGATGTTATAGGACACCCTCCAGCAAGGTGGGAGACCCAGGGTCCAGTCCCTTGCTCCAATGATGCTTTCAGTATCTATTCACAGGGCACTGTCCTGTGAGCTAGTCAATTCCTTTTCAAATCCCTTCTCATCAGGCAGAGGAAGGGACACTTCAAGTGTGTGTGTCGGGGGGGTATCGTCTCCCACATCCTTTTCAAGCACCCTAACCACTGGGCTGAAAATTAGGAGGGAGGGCCATCTCCTTTCACCCTCCCCCATCCTCCCAGCTATTTTGTGTGGAGCTAGGCAGCCTCTGAACATGCCTGCCAGATTGAGCCTCTGGCTACCTTCCCCTCATCTGTGAGTTGCGATGAGGCTTAGGGGAGAGGCTAGGGCTTGGGTGCCTAGGGTGAGGCAGCCTCATGCACATCCAGAAGCAGGAACATAGGCATCTAATGCAGGGTTTCTCAAACTGGGGGTTGGGACCCCTCAGGGGGTCGTGCGGTTATTACATGGGGGATCACGAGCTGTCAGCCTCCGCACCAAATCCCTCTTTGCCTCCAGCATTTACAATGGTGTTAAATATATTAAAAAGTGTTTTCAATGTATAAGGGGGGTTGCACTCAGAGGCTTGCTATGTCAAAGGGGTCACCAGTGCAAAAGTCTGAGAACCACTGATCTAGAGGATTTTTACTGCAAAAACGTAGGTGCCGAGTGAGGTTAAGAGCCTACAGGGATAGATGGCACCTGAGTGGGAGTGCTGTTATCACAGGGGTGCCTAGAAAGGTGCCTAAGAACCTTTGAATCTCCCCCGCCACCTTACTTAGTACAATGCATACATACAGATGAAGAGATGGGCTCAGTTAGATTGTCAATGTGATGTCCTGACTTGGCTCTGGGCACTGAGCAGGACAATGATTTATTTGTGACTTTCTTGCTTTGAACCAGAAAGTTTGGGTTGGTCCTGCTTTGAGCATGGGATTGGACTAGATGACCTCCTGAGTTCTCTTCCAACTCTAATCTTCTATGATTCTGGAAGAATGGGGTGGATCTGAGTCCCAGGGTATGAAAATGGGCATTTGTGGAGCTGGGGCCTCCAAGAAAGTCTCTTATGGGTCTGTTTTACACAGTATAAACTATCAAGTGTGATTACACTGGGGTTCTGTTTTTTATTCCTATTAGTTCCCATCAACTCATAGATCTGGAAGGTTTAACTAGATGTCTGAGTTACTGACTATTACCAGTAGCGTTACACACTTCTTCTGTCATGGATCTGCCGTTCCCCATTTTGAGACCTGTATCCTTTACAAAGTCCTCTATGACTACATTCCACAGAATTCATAATTAATCTGATTACATGTAGAATCCAGGTTCACTAAATACACTGTAGTTCCACTGTTATTAACTTCTTATTTCATTTTTCTGATGCAGGCATTTAGCACAAAAATATAAAAAAAACACTTTAGACTCAGGACAATGAAAATACATAGAAATTAATTCCCTGGAATGTAATAATAGCTGATCAACCTTTGTGGACATTAATGGTGTTGTGATTCCTTCTGTGGTGCCTAAATGTCTGATTTTGACCGCTGAGTATGCAATTTTCATACGCTTTTCCTTAAAAGTGATACCATTACGATTTAATGAAATAGCTCACACTTGAATCATGTATTCTTGCATTTAAACATAAGCAAGGCCTGATTTTAGGCCAAGTTACCTACAGTTGAACCCTGAAATGAGTTAAATGGTTTTATTACCCTCTTTCCTGAATCCAGAGTTAACAGACTTTTCTAACAATATAAAAGTTGTCTTATGACCTTGAAGAGGAGTGTACAGCTTTAAGAGAAGGAATAAACAAAGGCGTTTCTATGTCCCTACATGTTCTAGACCCTAAACAAGTGACCTGTCCTCCATCTGTTGTTGTAGATTTATATGTAACATTTTAAATAAGCCTAAGTGGCTCATGACCATGAGTGCAGACTGTCAGAAATCAGGCAGACACCTGGAGCTGGAGCTGTGTCCCTATAATTAGGGTTCACCAAGCCAGAAACAAATGTGAACTCCTGCATCACGATACCAGTCTTGCCATGGACTCACAGACACTTCCATCAGTGCCTCCTGTTTGTCTTGCCACCCAGGCAGTGATGAGTGATAAATGGTCACTTATACCAAAGATCACAAAATATTCAGGTTGCTTCCAGACCCAAGAGCCCAGTCACTTACCCCAGATCAATTGGTACCCTAGATCTTACACGAAAGACAATGTCTGTAGCCAGTCCTGTAATAAATTATCTATCTAAAGGTTTATTAACTAGGGAAAAGAAATGAGAGTTATTGACAGGTTAAAGCAAGCGAACACATAGAGACAAATGAGTTACCATCTGAATCCTAAGTGACAGTGTCTGTCAATTCAAAGTATCTTTCAGGGCAGACCCAGGAGATAACCCCTGGGGATCTCTGGCTTCAGTTTGGTTTCTCTGGCCCTGTGAGAGGTCAAACGCAAAGAAAGGAAAAATCTTCACATCAACTATTTTTATTTCCCTCTTCTAGCATTCAAAGCTCTGGGACAAGGCTTCTGCACATACTTCTCCATGAGTGGATGGGACAATTAACAAAGTCTTTGTCTTATAGTGGCCTATTTAAATTTTGATAGTTCTCCTGGATGGGCTGGGGGGATTATTTCCACAACTGGGTTCACAAGTTCAGAGCAAACATTTTCAAAGTTATAAAGCAAAACTTACATATTTCCTTATAGCCTGGAATACGAATATTACAGGTGAGATTAATGCATACAGCAATTTACAAGCATTTCATAGAGTCTAAACACTAAATACATTCTTACAAGACTAATACCTACTTTGAGCAAAACTAACATACAGATGAACTGGACTGGTTTCCAGCGCTGAGTTTGTCAGTTCTTAGCTAATGCTTGCAGCCTTGGCAAGAGCTGGCATCTGGTCTGTAACTAAAACTGATTTAGTGCTGCTTTAAACTGTGTGCTTGCACTGCAAATAACTGCCACTTATTGTTCATGCCTTGTGTGTATCGTGCTGAGCTCACTTCACTTACCTTACTAATTTACTGCTTAAATGAGTCACCCTTCAATCTTTGGTTTGAAGAATACATAACTAAAACTCATCTGTACTTATTGTGTTATCATAGCTTTGAGGAAATTCATTGTTTGATGGTTAATTTTGTTTTGTTGTCCTGTGTCAATTTAATTCATAACATTAAGTGCTTTTGAGAATTAGCAACTATAATCACTATTTAGCTCTGACGTGTGTCTTACCCTCACCCCTGCAGCTGTGCTGTCTTTGCATGTGTGAATGAGAATTACCTGCTAAGAGAAGCATTCTTAGAACTCTCCCCCTTGTAATAGTACACTGCGTGAGTGAGAAAAGCTATCTTCTGACTTCAAAATCTGATGTAAATCTTTATTTGTGTGTTCTAAACTTTAGAATAATTTTATGCTAGTCATGTTGTGTTTTTAACTAGAGAGTATTTAATGTGCTAATACCTGACACCTCACACTAGCCTCTTTCCAATCTTGGTGAAAGAATTACTATTTTACCATTGTCTATTTTAAATACCAAAAGCCAGGTACTTTGTGATAGTACTTTTTCTATATTTGAACGTTAGTGTTGTCCCATTGGTATACATAATTACCTTTAATAATCAATCTTTGTCTTATGCCAATTAATTCAAACACCAGGATCTCCCTGCAACACAATGTCTACCTATCAACTCTCTAAGAACACTACCTCAACCAAAGTACAGTAACTCCTTGCTTAATGTTGTAGTTGTGGTCCTGAAAAATGCTACTTTAAGCAAAGTGATGTTAAGCAAATCCAATTTCTCCATAAGAATTAATGTAAATGGGGGGGTTAGGTTCCTGGGAATTTTTTTTCACCAGACAAAAGACATATATATACACACATACACAGTATAAGTTTTAAACAATTTAATACTGTACACAGCAATGATGATTGTGAAGCTTGGTTGAGGTGGTGAAGTCAGAGGGTGGGATATTTCCCAGGAAATGCCTTACTGCTAAATGATGAACTAGCACTCGGCTGAGCCCTCGAGGGTTAACACGTTGTTAATTTAGCCTCACACTCTACAAGGCACCACGAATGGGGGGAGGGGAGACAGCATGGCAGAGAGACACACCGTGTGTGTGTGTGTGTGTGTGTGTTTGTGTGTGAGAGAGAGAGAGAGATGCGTATTGCCCCTTTTAAGTATGCTGACTCCACTCTAAGTCCATTGCCTTTTAAGTAGATCAGCAAGCTGAGACAGCAGCTGCTGCCAGCAAGCTCCCTCCCTCCTGAGCCCTGTCGTGTCCCCCCTACCTGCTCTGTGGAGATGGCCCGATGGGGTAAAGAACCTGGGGGAGGGTGGCAGGAGCGGGGGGGAGGAGGGGAACACCCTGACATTAGCACCCCTCTTTCCCCCCCCATCTCCAGCACAGCAAGCAGGAGGCTCCCTGGAGCAGCTCCAAGGCAGAGGGCAGGAGCAGCACATGGCAGTGGGGGGAGGGACAGCTGAACTGCCCAGCAATTGGTAGCCTGCTGGGCAGCTGCTGCACAGGGAACTTAGGGGAGCGGGGAGCTGATAGGGAGGCTGCTGGTCCACCCTGGTTCCAAGCCCCCCCCCCCCCCCCCAGCTCGCTCCAACAGGCTGCTCTTTCTGCAAGCAGTGGACAAAGCAGGCAGCTGCTGAACAATGTTATAAGGGAGCATTGCACAACTTTAAACGAGCATGTTCCCTAATTGATCAGCAACATAACAATGAAACAATGTTAACCGGGATGACTTCAAGTGAGGAGTTACTGTATTCAAATTAAAGTTAATCAAACTGCTTTCTGAATTTGATCACTTGTAAAATTGTCTATTGACTGCACCAAATCAGAGCCAAACCTATCAACTCTGCTCTATTGCATAATAATAACACTGGGTGATTCGTGTACCCCAGCTTTTGTGTGTATTATTCTAACCATTTTCAGCTATTGACATGCTAAATGCTGCTGAATTTCAAGCTGTAATAATCATATGACTGTGAATTTTCTTTAAGAATCATGCTTGTCTAAGAATACTTCTTTAGACAAAGTAAGAAAAGTATTAATGGTTTTGCTAATTTTGTTGACACTGATTTAAACTTGATTGTCCAATCCAACATATCTAGTTTTGTCCACTTTCATTTTTTGTTTAAAAGTTTTAATGTCAAGTCAAATTATAGTTTTTAATCAAGTTACTTCATTGAACATATACTTGGTTATTTGACATTAGGGCCATGTTTACCCCCATCGCACTTTCACTATCCTCCATATTTGACAAAAGCATGGAGTCTGCACAGCTTTGAATGATGAATAATGCGATGGTATTTGCAGACCCACAGGGAGAACTGCAGCAATGGGGCCATGACCATTTCCAATATCTCCTGTCTACTCCTTGCAGGAACATGTCTAGTGTATGTAATTAACATGGGCAGTTGCATACAACAAGGGAGAGTTAGCTGCTAGCTGTGCTTGCCAAACTGGGCAATCAGAAAAAAACATGTCAAAAATACATGGTGTTTTAAAAGGTTGTGTGTGGCTTCTGGTCTCCATGATCCCTGGACAGTGGAGTTCACAATTGTCACCAGAGAGGTCAGTGTTGGGCATTGTGGGACAGCTAATGGAAAACTCTTAGCATTGATGGGCAGGATCCCCTGGGAGGCTAATATGAGGGGGAAAGGAGGGTAGGGATAGGGTCCAGAGTGACCTAGACAAATTGGAGGATTGGACCAAAAGAAATCTGATGAGGTTCAACAAGGACAAGAGCAAAGTCCTGCATTTAGGAAGGAAGAATCCCATGCACCGCTACAGGCTGGGGACTGACTGGCTAAGCAGCAGTTCTGCAGAAAAGGATCTGGGGATTACAGTGGATGAGAAGCTGGATATGAACAACAATGTGTCCTTGTTGCCAAGAAGGCTAACTGCATATTGGGCTGCATTAGTAGAAGCATTGCCAGCAGATCAAGGGAAGTGATTATTCCTCTCTATTCGACATTGGTGATGCCATATCTGGAGTATTGTATCCAGTTTTGGTCCCTCCAGTACAGAAAGGATGTGGACAAATTGGAGAGAGTCCAGCGGAGGGCAATGAAAATGATCAGTGGGCTGGGGCACATGATTTATGAGGAAAGGCTGTGGGAACTGGGATTATTTAGTCTGCAAAAGAGAAGAGTGAGGGGGGATTTGATAGCAGCCTTCAACTACGTGAAGGGGGGTTCCAAAGAGGATGGAGTTAGGCTGTTCTCAGTGGTGGCAGATGACAGAACAAGGAGCAATGCTCTCAAGTTGCAGTGGGGGAGGTCTAGGTTGATATTAGGAAAAACTATTTCACCAGGAGGGTGGTGATGTACTGGAATGGATTACCTAGGGTGGTGGTATAATCTCTGTCCTTAAAGGTTTTTAAGGCCTGGCTTGACAAAGCGCTGGATGGGATGATTTAGTTGAGGTTGGTCCTGCTTTGAACAGGGGATTGGACTAGATGACCTCCTGAGGTCTCTTCCAACCCTTATCTTCTATGAGTCTATGATTGACATAGGTCACATCTTGCACTGCATTAACCACAGTAGGTCACCCATGGCTCTACACCATTCAAGGAGATGGTATTACTGTGTCACTGTAATTGCTTGCTTACGTAGCCGGGAGACAAATTTCAGCATAGACACATGAGGATCCAGGTTTATGCAAGGCAACTTA